CATCTTAGCTGTAGAGGGCAGTGTCACTGGCCCCATGTGGGCTCTGGACCGGGGCCCTGTTGGTCAGAGCTGGTGTCCCAAGCCAGCTCTTAACCAATGCGCCACTCGGCCGGCCCCTGAACCCTGATTTTTCTGATGCCACAGCCTACACGTTTACCACCACCAGCTACGAAATGAGAGTTGGCCTGAATGATTCTGCTTTGCTAGTTTCCTAATATATTAATTACTAACTTTCAATGACCCCAGGCAGAAAAGTGGTAAAAATGACCTTAAGCAATGTTGACAAGAACACAGCCCACCATTATCACATTATTGGCATCATGGATACCAGCCCAGGGAGAGGGGAAGATGTTTGAGCACTCAGCCCTAAAGGTGTCAGTTTGGTTAGTCTGGAATGGATCTTTGGACTTCTTAATGTTTTTTTAAAAACTCATGTCATTCTGATGTGTAGCTAAGTTTAGAAACTCTTATCCCAAGTGGCAGAATGGAGACTAGACAGAAGTTATCAGAAAGTAGGTTTATCTTAGACTGAGGAAAAGCTTTCTAACTAGAGCTTACCAACAATAGAAGCTAACCAACATAGAGAAGTATGTTTCTCCTTGCTTGGAAGCATTCAAACCTAGGCCTGATGACTTACTGGAGTGAGAGAGACAAATGAGAAAAACTCGAGTGCTGTCTGTGTTCAGTGGGATTGAACTCATTTCCCCCAGGGTCTTTCCTTTCTAAGAGTAAGTATTTTGTCGCTGTAGTCCTACTTCCCCGTGTACGTTTGGTATCTCCTAAATGACTTTCTCCCGTGACCTTGGGCCTGGTGTTCCCTCCCTCTGGCTGCACTGTGGGTGAAAGTTGGCAGGATTCTGCAAAGTGCATTCATGTCCTCCCCATTCTAGGAAATCCTTCTTTGTATGGAGGCTGCTTCTTGTTTCTAACTTCTGCCTCCCTCGGCTGCCCTTCCCCCAGTATAGTAATACCGGCCAAAGCTGGATGGGCCCAAATGGTATGTTTAGGAAACTGTGATGTTAAATTACCTTTCCCTTCCTGCGTGGCCCTAATAAACTCAGTGTGGAGAGAGCATCATGTTGTGCAAGAGGGGAAGTTTGGGGCAAGGTGCTATAGTTGCATTTTCTACAGCTGTTCCATGTCTTTTCTCTTCGTCTCATGTGGTGGCGAGGTAATTAAGGCCCTGGGATCATCCAAGAAATCATGGGGAGGGGTGCCAGCCCATACTAAGAGGGCCCACAGGACAGGTGAGGGTGCTGGTCCCAAGGGCCTGGCTTTGGAGCCAGACACACCTGAGTTTGAATTCTAGCTCTGCCCCTCACCATCGAGTGACCTGTTACCAAAGGACAATGGAAGTCTAGTCAGTAAAACCATAGGATGGTGTCTGGCACATAAGAAATGCTTGGTAAACATTCAGCTGCTGTAACAATCATCATCGTTTTCATTGAATACTGAGAGGTGATAATAATCTTTTGGGTAAAGAGTAACATAACTTGAGTGAAGGCTGACTGTTTACTTGTAGGGTCTTTGAGGGTTAAGGATGAGAAGTAGCAACTGAATTTCCAACAAGCCTTGTCACAGCTTAAACATCAAAGTTAAACTAAAAATGGCCACTGTAGGATTGTGGCTGCTCCATCTTTGCTCTTCTGTGTATGTGACCTCACACTCCAAGAGGTGATGGTACCACCTTTTAAGAGGTGGTGCAGGCTCTGCTCCCCCACGCAGGAATTCTCCTGCTTCCTTGGCAACACCCAGAGCCATCTATGGGGAGTGGGAGGCAGTGAGGCGCTAGCCCTCTCCTTCTGTCTTTGGGAGGGTAGTAATGTGGAAGCCCCAACTTTGTCATGTATCAAACTCATGATAATGTCCAGAGATATGTCTGCTGCCCCTGCTTCCCTCTGACTTGCCGGGCCAGACCCATGGGCCGTACCTGCCACTTTTTGCCCTTTGTATCTGCATTGAGGATGACTGGAAGAGAAAATGGCCTTTTAGTGGGCGTAGCCAGCCTCAATGTTCTACAATGCCATTAGGCCTGTATAGACCCCACTGTTGTCCAACAGAAGAAGGGCATTCATCTAGCAGAGTGGACCAGAACATAGAGGAGCCAGGCTGCCCAGTTTGATCCTGACTTGGTCCTTTGCATCTGTGTGACTTTGGGCACATTGGCTTCTCCTCTTGATAGAGGGTGGCTGAAACACTACCTACTTCACAGGGCTGCTATGAGAATTAAAGGAGTTAATGGGCCTAAAACCTTGAGAATCTCAGGATGGATATACCATTATATGTGGTAACAGTGCCACGTAGGGATTTGCTGTTATTACTGTTGCCCACGAGGGCACCTTGGGCTGTTCCCGGATAGGGCCTGGCATTGGCCTCTGGTCTGGTGGTCCCGGACTTTGTGCATTCACACCAAGATGCGTCAGCCATGAGGCAGCATTCCTGGAGCAGCCCAGCTGTCATTGGATCTGGAACAGGCAGCCTCTGAAGTGATTAGAGTTGTCCTGAGCCCTGGGGTCACCAGACATTTGTCTCTCATTGCACCAGTAGAGAGGGGACTTGTCTGAAGCTGTACCCTTTGACCTCCTGGGAAGCCTCAAACAACATTGTCAGGGAGGCTGGGCCTCTTCAGGAGCACCCTGGCTCCCTAGTGTTGAAGGAAACCCACATCAGTGATCCAACTTGGGGCGGGGCTGATGCAACCTGGGAGACTGAGGCAGACTTGGGCTCAAGGCAAGTGAAGCACCAGGAGCCTGAAATCAGAAAACAGAATGGACGGTTGGATTCTTCCTGATTTGGGCTAGTGGACTTGGTTTGTGGCAGCTCTTTAATAAATGCCGATAACAGGGAATTCTGGCAAATTCTCATTTCTGCAAATTGGAAACCCAGCATGACAAGCCTGGTTCCTCTGCTGGCTGGGGAGGGAGACAGCCTTTACCACTTCTCTGTTCCTACTTGACCATTTTCCACCCCGTGTGAGGATTGTGTCCGCCAATTTTGTTGTTTTGTAACCACATGGCAGTGGAGAGGGGTGGGCCAATTCACCAGACCTTCTTTCACCTTGCTTATAGCTGCTTTTGGCATTTTACTCCACACTCTGATCCTTTACTTCTTGAGATTTTAGAAGAATGATAAAAGATTAGTACTGATCAGGATATTTGAAAGATCTGAGGAGGGGCAAAAATAGGCCCAAAGAGAAGAACGTGCCCCAAATCCCACAGGGAGTTAGGATGTAGCCTGGAAGAGAGCAGGTGTAAGGGGACACGAAAGGGGAACACTGGGTTGTCCTTTTCTTAAATGATTCAATGCCTTTTGCTGTTCCTCTGAAAATCCTACACTGCAAGTTCGGTTAAAAAAAATATCTGAGAAGACCTGACTAAAAAATGCTGGAAGTTATAATAGGCTATAATATTAATGAGCATATTTGTGTGGGAAAGCTAATAAAAATTTATGCTCCTTTGTCAGAGTTGGGTAAGAGCAAGGGACAGGCAGGGACCGACTTGTGTTTTCCACAGGGTATCAGTGGTGATGGTCATCAGCCAGGCTTTGCCCTTGGAAATCCTGGAGTTTTGGAGCTGGGAAGAGCAGGGTCCCTTTGGTCCCTCAGTTTGCTGATGAGGCTGGGAGGACCATGATCCTCCTATCTTGAGGGCACAGCTGGGGCCTGGCCTAAGGTTCCTGATTCTCTCTAGCCCCACCCTCCATGTCCAGCAGCCTCCCCTGTCTTGGACACTGCTGCTGAGAACAGAGATGTTGTGAAAACCTGTGTACTTTCTTGGGTGGATTTCTGTCAGATCTTTTCTTAGTAGGAGAAAACTGGGAATATCCATGGCCAAGGCAGATGATGCTTCCAAGACGGAAACCATCTGAGGACTTCTGACACTTTTCCTTCTCCTCGTATTAAATCTGGGAAAAGTTCATGTACATTTATGCTGGAACAAGACCAGTGAAATAACTATAGAAAGCTGCTTTCAGCCCTGATGACAAGGAGAGGTTGGGTTACTATGTATGTAGAGTCTCTATTATGTGTCGGGCACTGTGCTGGGCTTCAGGGGTGCAAGAGTGAACAAACAGACATGGCTTTTCTTGCCCTTGGTGCTTATATTCGGACATTAATAACTATATATTTCCAAATTGTGGATGGATAGTGTTGTGAAGGGAAAAGTCCGAGTTCTTAGAATAATGGGCGGCTTGACTGTTTTATTCAGAGGATCAGAGAAGGCCTCCATGGAGAGAGGCCTGAAGGATTGGTAAGAGGTCGGATGGCAGGTAAAGAGAGGGGTAAGGAGCTGTAGGGCCTGCGTGAAAGGGCTCTGAGGCAGGGAAGGGTGAGTTGGGTGAGTTGGGGATTGAACCAAGGGTAGAGTCTGCATAGGAGTGCAGAGGCATGCAATGAGATTAGGAGGTGGGGAGAGGCCAGACCATATAGAGCCTTGTAAGGATTTCCAAGGGGTTTGGTGCTAACGGAAAGCCATTGCAAAGTTTTAATCAGGGAAATAGCAGAGTCTGGCGGAGGGTGGAAAATGGATGGAAGAGGTAAAAGTAGAATTGGGATTGTGTAAATCCAGGCACGACGTGGTGACTGCTTGACCTAGGGTGAGAGGTGATAGGGTTGGCACAACTGACCGTAATAGGTATGTGGGGGACAAGAAGCGAGGAGGGTCAGCAGTGAACTCTGGTTCAAGGGATGCTGCCTTCGATACTAAAATTTAACCTTTCTGAAAAGAACTCCTCTCTTCCCCAATAAGCTTTTCCTCTAGTCTTGACCATTCTCTAGAAATAAAATTCAACCTATTTTTCTAATTTTAATTTTTACTTTTGTTTCTTTTAAAAAATAAAGTCCTGTCAAATGAATTCCAGTTATAATACATGGTCTTAGTAATAACCTTCTGTATGTTACAGATTTTATTCTTTTGAAGAGCTGAGTGATGTTCTATGACATAGATGCATACCATCGTTTATTTCACTTACAGGTCTCTACTCTTGTTTTCCTCCTTTTGCAGGTTGACCAGTATCTCTACCACATGCGTCTTTCTGATGAGACCCTTCTGGAGATCTCTAAGCGGTTCCGTAAGGAGATGGAGAAAGGACTTGGAGCCACCACCAACCCCACTGCTTCAGTGAAAATGCTGCCTACCTTTGTGAGGTCTACTCCAGATGGGACAGGTACTGTAATGGGGGGGAAGATGGCTCTGGCTGCTCCATTGCTATGGGGAGGAGATTTGTATGGCTTTGCTCAGGGACCCAAAGAGCTGTGCGTCAGTGAAGGTTCTTCGGTTTGAAGCCTCAGAAACCAAACCTGGTTAACTTAGGCATACAGGGAACTTAAAGGAAGTCTGTGGGATGGGCTAGGCAGGAAGACAGGGAAAGCAGGCAGCCTCAGCAGTCAAGGTAGAAGTACATCCTTGTCACCCGACCAGAGCATTGCTGTCAGCCATTTGTTTCCCATCCATGTGCTGAGAAAGGCTGCTTGGCTGTTTAGGATTTTGTGGGCCCACTGACATTGCACTTGGTGGTGATGACAAACGTGTCTAAGATGGTCACAGCCATAGGCCGTGGCCGTCTCTGGCCCACCTAACTTGGCACATTCCATCATCTTGCTGGAGAAACAGTGTGGTACCAATTGTCCTAGATTGTTGTTGAACTCCATGAAAAAAGAGCGTTAGAAGTCCAGATCAACTTGGGAGGATGTGAAGAGCCACAGTGCATATGAAGGTATTCAAGACTCTGAAGTTATGCAATAAGAACCTGTCAAGCTGTGTTTAATCCCATGATTCGGATATAGAATTTGTATTTCATGGTGCACCACCTGGCAAGTACTTGAATCAAACTGGAGAAAGGGGCCATGGTGGAGATTGAAGTTGGAAGGTGGTTTGGGGCTAGATCACAGAAGGCATTGGATGCCTGCCTAAAACACTGAGTCTTTCTTCAGTAAGCATTGGGGAATAATTGAAAGGTTTCGAGGGGCGAAAGCAGAACTGTCTTGGTATAATGGGTATCATCAGTAGTATCTATAGAGTGGAAGAGGGGTGATGGGCGGCTGGTAGAGGACAGGACATTCGCCCAGGTGGCATGTGTTGGGCAGGGGTGAGGGGGTTTCTAAGGTGATACCAGGATGTTGAGCCCAGCTGCCTGAGGGTGGCACCATCCTCAGAGAAGGGAATGGAGCTAAGTTATGTCAGTGCTTTCACACAGCGTGTTTCATTTAATCTTCACAGTAACCCTTCATTTTAGAGATGAGGTGCCTGTGGGGCCTTGAGGGGTGAGGAGTGTGAGGTGGCCACCCACATCTAGAGCGGGGGAGAAAGAGCCAAAGGGGCAGCTGCCAGGGCAGTGGAGGAAATAGGAAACAGAGTCCAAGAACCTGAGGGAGAGAAAGCGCCCAGAAGCTGGTCACTAGGGAGGCATTTGCAGAGAAGTCCTGGGGTAGGGGGTTAGGGAAGGTCACAGGACAGGGTTTGTTCATGCGCCACGTACCTTCACTATTTCCATCACTTCTGTCCTTGAGGCTTACCTGCCTGAGAGCCAATAGGGACCTGGTTTGTCTAACAAGACTTTGTACCTTTCTATGATTCCTAAAATAAGTATGTGTTTGCCGAAGCCTTGGGACCCAGCCTGGACCCAAGGGTGTGACCTTGTTCAGGATTGTTCTCCGAGTGTTTGTGTCTCAGACTTCAAAGAGCTTCTTGAGGTGAGGGCCCCCCCCCCCCCAGTTCTTAGGTATCCCTTGTGTAACCTCTAGGTTGGCACTGTACCTGCCACACCCTCTGACTGGTGGCCACACCCACTTCTATTGTTTCTATTTGACATTCTGATAAATTTACTGGCTTCTTAACACCAGGGACCTTGTCCTTATTTCAGGCACTAGCACTAATCCAGTCCCCTAAATATTTACTAAATGTGTATTATGGGTAAGGGCTTTTCTGAACTCCTAGATGCAGTAACTCATTTAATTTTTACAAAACCCTATAAGAAGTAGGTACCAATTTTATCTACTATTTTCTTAGATGAGGAATTTGAGACTCAGATGGTCAAATGACTTGCCTAAAGTCACATAGTTAACGAGAGGCTGAGTCAGGATTCAAACTCATCTATGCCAAAGGTTAGGCATCAAGACTGCACCAATCCATTATGTGTGTGTGAGCATGATCAGAGCACACAGCACATGCTCAGCTAAGACTTTTTGAAATCAGATTGGGTTTGGATGTCTGGCTGGTGAATAAGTTTGCTGGGGAGAACTAGGTATGGGACTGGCTTTTTTTTCTTCTCATTGCTTTCTTGAGATTGGAGACACAGAGACCCTTCTCTACCTCTCGAGGTTTGTACAAGTTGCTGCACTGTGTGGTCACTGAGTTCCCTTCCCTGATCTCAGGCTGGAGTCCTGGGAGCCTGTCTGTGTCCCACCTCTGCCCCAGGTTAGTACAGCAAGTGTGGTTTTGGCCTCTGTGAATGTGAGCTGCCTGGACTGAGGACAGAAGCCAGAGGCTGACTCCTGCAGCCTTCTGGGGCTGAAGGGTCTGGGGCAGGACCTGTCTGCCTGATGCAGAAATGGGACATGACTTTTGTGACACCCAGAGTGCCTCTTTATAATTGCAAATTCTACAGTGTAAATGGAGATGATGTGTAAAAGGAATACTGTGTATTGAATGTTTTGAATACTGTGAATTCACGTAAGCAGAGCAAGTGGCCCCTAGAGAACTGGAGATCAGACTTTAGGAAACCTGGCCCACAGCCCCTTGCTTCCTCACTTGCTGGGAGGGGGGCGGGGGCATGTCCCAGCTCCTCACCTCTCTGGCACTCAGCCTTTTCTCCTATGTAAAATGAGAGGTGGGTCCAGCAGTCACAGGCTATTCTGCACGTGTACTAGAACTAGTGTGGTAATGTCTTTACACACAAAGTTCCTTGAAATGCTGTAAGGAGGGAAAAACCCTAATGTCCATCAGTTGGGCACTGGTCAATTTAATGCAGAAAACAGCCCTCTGCAACCCATCCTAAAGCATGAGATAGATTTATCTGTATTTGTATTCTGTAAAGTTGTGTGTATATGTGCATGTGCACAGCTGTGTACAAAGTCTCAAGCACATATATTGAGCTATTGATACTGGTTATCCTGGGACGTGAGGTTGGCAATAACTAGTTAAGTTGAAAACGTGTATATATGACAACTCAGTAATTTCACTTTCAACTATACCTTGAACTGACTCCCATATGAACTCAAGGAGACATGTCCAAAAATGCTCACAGCAGTGTTGCTTTTAATGACAACATATTGGGAACAGTTTATAGAAGATCCATGTGATGGAGTACAGTGTAACACGTTACATAAATGAGCATATATAAATATGGGTACATCTTAAAATCAGTGAGTAAAAAATTGTAGGACATGAATCTCATAGTAGTTGAATGCAAATTTAAAAAATCCCTTGGAGTTTTGCTTATGGATACACACACACACATCATAAGATTTTTTAGGATATAAACTGGGAAATGTACACCAGATAAGTGCTAGAGGTTGCTTCTGGAGAGTGAAATGGAACTGCAGAGGGGAACATGAGGGAATGTAATTGAAAGTGGTCAATGTCAAGGCTTTCAATTTTATGTTTTGTTAGTTGGGGCTATGAGTTATGGAATGGCAGCAAGGACCAGGGACATTCAACAGATCAAGCCTATTAAAAATGCAAATTCTCCTTTGTTGGTTCTTCAGTAAATTGCTGAGAGCAGAGACTGAGAGTGCAGGAACTGTTGCCTCTCCCCTAGATGTGGTCACACAGCATGGGCCTGATGGGTGCATCTGCTTCCTGGCCCAGGCCTCAGCCTGGGCTCTGTTGCTGTTACTGGTGATTCTCTCCCACAGAAGGCCAGAGTCCTTTATTCAAGTGGTGCCCACCCCATGCTGGCCTTACTTAGAACATTTCTTAGCCCATTCCTTTTCAGCATTATTTTTCAAACCTGCAAAATGAAACCTCGGATCTAAACCTCGGATCTAGAGGAAACTAATCTTTAAATCAGTGGCTCTCTAGCTTTTCTGGACTACATACTCACAGCAAGAAACACATAGGTATAAATATTGATGTATAACTTACAGATTTCAGGGACCAGTGTTTCTTCTTCTTCTTCTTCATTTTTGTTTTTTTTAAAATTGGGGAATTGGGGGAGGGGGAACAGCATTGGGGAATCGGGGAAGGGGAACAGACAAGTTGCTGTCCTTTGGTTCTTCAGTCTAGCTGTGGAGGATATTGTTTCACTGGCCCATGTTGGTATTATGATCATTTCACTCTTCCTGGCTGAGGCAGTCAGTTGCTGGCCATTGGACAGCCGCTCACGGCGGTTTACAGCAACTCTCGCTGGCTGCTGGCCACTCACGGTAGCTCACAGCAGCCCATTGCAGCCCCACTGCAGCCTATGCCGTTGACAGCCACTCACGGCAGCCCTGCTCCAGGTAGAGCTGTTGTTCACCATCTTAGCTGTAGAGGGCGCAGTGTCACTGGCCCATGTGGGATCTGAACTGGTGGCCCTGCTGCTCAGAGCTTGAGCTCCCAAGCCAACTCTTAACCAACTGCACCACTCAGCCAGCCCCCAGTGTTTATTCTTAAATGTGATGCAGTCCAATCTATTACCTTGCATTCTTTAAAAAAGTCGCTAGTGAGGACCTAGATTTTTTTCAGCTTGCAGTTGGACAGCCACTGCCTTCAATGCTCCTCACCCAATCTTGTCATATACAGGCATCTGTAAAATTGGCCACTTCTTGCCAGGGAGAAAAGTTTATTTCCTGTGGTAAGGGATGAAGGTCAGAATTCTAGGTTTCAATGGGGTTTTAATTCAAGCTGTGTGCTTTAGAGCAGTTTATTTATACCCTGATCCTCCGTTTCCTCATTTGTAAAAAGAGGAAACATCAGAGGGTTGGCTAACTGAGAATTAAGGTAGAATCGAATACATGACCTTCTCATGTATGTTATGAACACAGTCTTGGGTAGCCACCACCCACCACAGCAAAAGACATGATTTTATCTAAAGAGGGTCATTGAGCATCCCGAGGTCCTTTTGGAGGGAGCAGGTCTGGGGATTCGTCCCTATCACCAGAGGCCCTGCATTTTGGAGCGATGACCAGGTCCCAGCTCTTTTTTATACAGGTGCTAGCTATCTAATGTAAATCAAAGTCCTGGTAG